CTATGTAAAATCTTGAATTTTCCATCACTGTCCTGGACATAATAGTCAACTTGACGAATAAAGACGCTGAAAATCTGACAAGGGTTCTAACCCTCTACCACTCCAAAAATGAAACTCTAAAACTAAACCCCCCCCAAAAAAAGTTTGCTTTAGATACACTTTAAGACATACTTGTAGAGCCTAACTCCATAGGAGCTTGGACACCACAACCTGCACATTAAGCTTGTTGGTGCAATGTGGTGCCATTCATTCTGAATGGCAACCAAATGGGAAGTCTCATTCTAAATGGCACCCAAATGGGAACACTCATTCTAAATGGCACCCAAATGGGAGCTCTCATTCTGAATGGCAACCAAATGGGAGCTCTCATTCTAAATGGCACCCAAATGGGAGCTCTCATTATGAATGGCAACCAAATGGGAAGTCTCATTCTGAATGGCTTCCAAATAAGAGCTCTCATTCTTGATGGCACCCAAATAAGAGCTCTCATTCTTGATGGCAACCAAATAAGAGCTCTCATTCTTGATGGCAACCAAATGGGAGCTCTCATTCTTGATAGCAACCAAATGCAAAATGTCATTCTGAATGGCAACCAAATGGGAAGTCTCATTCTAAATGTCACCCAAATGGGAGCTCTCATTCTGAATGGCACCTAAATAGGAACTCTCTTTTTAAATGACATCCAAACGGGAACGCCTATTGTGAATGACACCTGAATGGGAAGTCTTATTTTGAATGGCACCCAAATGGGAAGTCTCTGTCTGAATGGTACCCAGTTGGGAAGTTTTATTCTGAATGGCACCCCAATTGGAAGTCTTTTTCAGAATAGCACCCAAATGGGAATTCTCATTCTGAATGGTACCTAAATGGGAAGTCTCATTCTGAATGGCACCTAAATGGGAAGTGTCATTCTGAAGGGCACCCCAATTGGAAGACTCATTCAGAATGGGAAGTCTCATTCCAAATAGCACCAAAATTGGAAGTCTTATTCAGAATGGCACCAAATGGGAAGACCCATTTTGAATGGCACCCAAATAGGAAGTTTCATTCTGAATGGCATCCAAATGGGAACTCTCATTCTAAATTGCACCCACATGAGAAGTTTCATTCTGAATGGCAACAAATGGGAAATCTCATTTTGAATAGCACCAAAGGGGAAGTCTCATTTTAATTGGCACCCAACTGGGAAGTCTCATTCTCAATGGCATCCAAATGCACTTTGCTGTTGGACATGCCTTGCAGCTCACCAGAACGCACATATTGTAGTTCATTGGGTTATGAAAAAATAGCGTTCGCACCTTTTTTGATGCATTAAGAAGTCCATTTTAATGATTGGTCTGCCTTAACACAAAGTTGGTTAAAGGAGAAAAAAAATAACACATATACTCACCTCTCTGCTGCAGTATACTCACCTGCCTATAATATATAGTATAGTATAGTGTATAATAATATTGTCTAGATCCTCCTTTCATGGCTCAGCTATGTCCTATCATCTGATAGCGGGCATCAGCCCACTATCAACTGACTTCAGGTCACAGGAGCACATTAGTAAACCATTTTCCATTGTATTAAAGATCAGAAGCTGGTTAAAGTTGGTTGCCATTGCCTAAAAATTGGCATTTATCCTTAAACATTTTTAACAATCTATTGGCTTTTTTCACCAGGACCCAACATTCCAAGCCTTGGACCGTTCCTGGATCTAAGGGATAGTTGCCACTTTTGTATCTGCCCCTAGCCCTAGTAACCCCAAACTTGTAAGTTTATCAGGGGAAACAATTCATCAGTATAATCAATGATCTCTCCACTGTCCCCAGACCCGCATAATCACACTCAGCACTGGTGTAAGGACAGACTGATTTTCAGGTTTGTCCAGAATCTTCATGCTTACCTTCCCCCCCGTTCCTCCTTCTCTTACCAGCAACGATCAGACATAAAAGGCCAATGAAGTGTACCCTCTTTGCGATAATGCGCCCTCTTACTCAATGGAGACCCTGCAGGGGGGGCACATGGCTCCCCTCTGCCTCCTGACTCTACTTTTCTGGGTAAGAGATCCGGGACATAAAGATTGGAATGTTAAAGTGTGTGCAGTCATTACGGCTAAATTGTGTTTCTATTTACACCATTTATGTGTGTAAAGGATGTTTATGGTGTGTTTATATATATATATATTGTCTGTATACGGATAAAAAACTGGCATGCGGAAAGTATTTATAGTAAATCCACACTCAGCTATTTATTTGTGTTTTTGCCTATGGTATGCAGTATGTGCTTTGCGTATTTCTATGCCAAGTGCAGAAATGAATCTATGGAGGTAACTGTTGGTAATAGAAATATTACTATAACATTCAAGCAACAAGGGAAACCAATCACAATTTTTGCTAGTCAGAATGCCTATCTGGTTACCCTGAAGTATATCTAAACTCAAGAACAAAAATATAATAGATGGCAGCCTGCTAGTCCTTAGATGTGGTGGCTGCATTCGTTTTCATTTGTCAGGCTAAGTATTCTGCCCGTGTTTGAAAATCCCCATTGACCCTGCCAGACATGCAGTGTCCTTGTAACTTAGTGTGCACCTTAACACAAGGCATTGACCCTGCCAGACATGCAGTGTGCTTGTAACTTAGTGTGCACCAAACTTAAATAGACAATGTTTTCTGCCTTCTCTTTCTCCTATGTGGACTACAGAACATCTCACCCCTATAGACTAGAGAAGAAGAGGTGTTCTGTAGGCTTAACACACTTTCTCTCTAAGGATGACAACACTGCTCCTCCATAGATATCAGTGATTGACCATTGCTACCCTAGAGCAAGAATTGTGTTACTGGCAGGATCTTCTTGTAAAAATAATGGAAAAAAAGGCTAAAAATAAAAACTAAATCTGCAATATATTACATTTTTGTTCTTGGGTTTTAATGCACTTTAATCTGAGCTTGATATGGTTCAAATTCAAGCAGATTTGGAATCCAGCTCACAGGGCATGGGAGCAGAACCGAAGTCTCTCATCTCATGAGTCTGCTGTGTACAATCTCTTTGACTTGAGAGAATTGGAAACCTGGCCAGCACATTCCCGAGGCTCAAGAGACGGTGTTCCCGGGGCAGTGGTCACAGCCAGTGATGAGATGTCAGAAGAGTGCCTTTAGTTACAGTGGCAGATGTGTACCGTTAAAGTGTTAGTCTAACAAGAACAGATATTTCTGGTTTGGTGGATACTAAGGAGGTTAATTCTTATATCTCTCAAGGTCTTTATCAGTACGAGATTCCCTGTATTGTTCCCCTGTTGATGTTAGACCACTAGAACTATTACAAAGGCACATCTGAATGTTACCACGCATGAATGTATTCTGCATTATTGATCATCCAGGGCATACAGGATAGCTGAGCTGACATATTGTATGTAATGGCCATGGTCATGGCTCGGAATTGGGAATCCTACTTTTGAGTTCCTCAGAGATACAGTAATGTGGTTGTATATCTGTATATCTCACATTAATGGATGAATGAGAACCTTCACAGACAGTAATCTGGTGGGTCATTTTAAAGGTTCAGTCAACCCAAAGGGGGAGCCTGGTTTGATGAGTCGAGTCAGCCCTTGGCTTCTTTTATTTCTTGGACATGCCAACTCTGAGATCTCCCTCTATAACTTGTCCATCTGAGAGACTTTGACTTTGTCCCTGTCCATCTGGGAGTTTCAGATGTTTCCAGCCACCTTTGTGTGTTCCAGCTCTTCCTGTTACATTTTCCAAAATATAAAATATATATATATATATTTAAAATCCAGCAGAGAAGGAGAATGAGAACCCCTCATAATGGTCACAGCAGGTTTGCAGACCTACGAACTTTGCACAGAGATCCCACTAACAGAGCCCCCTAGAGATACATGCAATTGTCAGGAGATTCAAAGGGTATTCAAAGCCCAAACCCTAAAGCCATTTCTTTTTTGATGTGTTCCATTGAGGAAATCCACCTCCCATCCCAGAGACACAACAGGAAGTGAGTAGTAATCTCTTCAATGTGAAGGTAAATTCGCACTTAGACTGTTCCAGTGACCACTGTAAAATTTTGGCTGTCCCATCAATTTATGTAGGGATGCACCGATACCGTTTTTTCGGTATCGAGTACCGACACTGATGCTTCCTCTGACATGGAGCCGGCTTCCCGAGCAAACGGGAAGCTGGGCGGCGGGTAAGGACATGCCACCCGGCTACCTGATTGCCCGGGAAGCCGGCTTCATGTAGTTAGGGTGGCTCGACTGCCCAGCTTACTGATTGGCCAGGAAGCCGGCTCAATGCTGATTGGCTGGGAAGCCGGTTTCCCGGCCAATCAGTAAGCCCGGCAGCGAGTAATGACCCACCTCCCAACTTCCTGATTGGCCGGGAAGCCGGTTCCATGCTAACTGGCTGGAAAGCTGGCTTCCCAGCCAATCAACAAGGAGCTGACTCAATGCTGATTGGCCGCTCCCGACACTAGTATTGGTATCGGTACATTCCTAAATTTTTGTACCAGCAACGATGGTAATATTTTGCAGCTCACCAGTCCCTATATGAGGTTGTTGCACCAGTTTTCTTTTTCAGGCTTCTTTTCCTTTATGTTCACCAAATGTTCCTGCCAGTAACGTACCTCTTATCCTAGGGTAACAAAACTGCTTCTCCATAGATACAGTACAGTGAGTGTGTGTTGTCTTAACTATGGTATCTCAGAGATATAAAACAATGATCAGAAAATGAATGCGCAGGCATCTCCCCAAAACTAGAAGGCAGCCATTTGGTAAGCTGATGACATTCATGAGAAGACAACCTATCACGAGGCATAGAGTGATGTCTCAGATCCATACAGATGGACAGGCCACATTCCCATATTGACTGTCACTTTGTGCCTATACACAGGAGGCACTTTGATGTATTCCTACAATTTATCATTTCCATGCTTTGTGTTCTTCGTTTGTTTTTATTCCCATGGCTGCTTCTCTACCCTGCTAATTTCTTGCCTTTTATGTTTATTAGGCATATGTGGAGTTGCAGGAGCTAGTCATGGACCCTAATAATGATATGCACTGGGTGGAGGCTGCTCGCTGGCTTAAGAATGAAGAAGGCTTCCAGGAAGATCTGAAGCAGTGGGGAAAACCTCAGCTGTCCTACCTCACATTCCGCAGCCTGCTGGAGCTACGTCGGTCTCTAAAAAAAGGTATATTTTGCTATAAAACCATATGTGGGAAGGACATAGCAAAGAAAGCAAACCAAAAAAATAGATGTAACATTGAATAAGCTGAAGGATTTTTAAAGCCAATATGAAAAATTCCAAGTTTCAGACCAATCAGGTTTGCTAAATGCAAATGTGCTGACAATAATCATGCTGGTGGCTGGAGAGAGTGCGCTGAGTAGAGGGATTCTCTACTTGTGCTACTTGTCTTCTGCTGTTGCTTCACTGTCCGATTACAGGTTGGGGCAGGGAGGTGATCAAGCTGTATTGCCTAACTGCAGCAGAGAAAAGGCTAGTCACCAACTAGCTCTACTGCCTAGCAGAGAACGGTGTAGGAAGCCGGAGTTGACCCTTCTAGTAGACACTGGCACTATCCCAGCCTAAAACATGGCCTCCACCAAGTCTAGGATGTGAGACTATTTCAGTTAATATAATGATGGCAAATATAGTATGGAGTAGTGGACAGGTTATTGGTATTCCAGGTTGTGTGATATTGTACAGGTTTTAAGAATCATGGAAAAATATTGCAAATAAATCGATTGCACTGATTGAAAATCGGAATTAAACATGTGACTTTCTTTTTCATCTCCCCATCTGGGAAAATAAATGTCTGTAATGTTTCATCACTAGGCACAGTGATTCTAGACCTGGCGGAAAAAACTCTTCCTGGAATCTCCAGTCATGTCATTGATCAGCTGATTTATGAAGGTCGTCTCCATCCTGATAACAGGGAGGAAGTCCTGAGAGCCCTACTTCTACGCCACAAGTAAGTAACCCACTTGCCCAACTGAGAGACCAAGCCTTTCCAAACTGATTACTGATTATTCCTCCTCAAAGGATGACTTCATTTCGACTGGTGATTGGTTGTTGAACTTTTTTTAGGGATCCACATATAAATTGTAAGCTCGATTCAAAAAATGTGGGTTTCCAAAGAGCAGTGTCCAATAATAGCTGTTTTACCTTCGTCTGGGCCATGACCATTGGTGTAAGATATTGAAGTTGATGGACATTTGTCATTATATCTATGTAACAAAATTACTTTTACATTGTTCTGGGACGGGTTGGGGAGGGATATAATTTGAGCACCTTTGTCTTGCCCCTACCTGTCAGACACAAAACATTGTGCAAGCATTTACTATCCTGCCTTACTGTGTTCCCCCAATCCCAATATGTTGAACATGGCAGGGTAGGACCATGTTAGCAAAGCCATAGCAGTACCATATTGTAGCAGCAAGGGCAGTTGTCAAATTGATACTGCATTACCACGGTGTATGTGTGAAAGAGCCAACCCTCTGCTTGCATCAGGTCTGAGGGCTTTTGAAGTGTAACGGAATAATAATTGGTATTTACGTAGGAATGTGACTGTAACAACAAGAATTTCTATCAACAGCCATCCAGATGAAGGTGGTTCTAAAGGAGACCCTGAGAGTGAACAGCCGTTGATTCACCAGATCGAGATGAAGACCATAGAAGAAAAGGTAGGAAGGGAAAGACAGTAATACTCAACAGTTTATCAGCTGCACATGGCTCTCAGCAGATGTTGCACATGGTATACCTTTAGCTGGTTCTCGGCTACAAAATGTATTATCCAAAGACCTGCAATTCTCCAACAGTATAAGAGGCTAGAAAGATGAGACCAGAATGAAGTCAAGTTTATAACACTTGTAGGCTTAGTTAATCAAGCCATGCACAAAAAGAAAATGAGGGCCATAGTCAAGGCCAGATTAACACAGGGGCTTCTGGAGCGACAGCTCCAGGCCCACCACTGAAAATAGGCCCGGCTCGCCTTGGTATGCCCAATGGCAATCCCGGCGACTGGACTGAACACAATTAGGCAGAGGCACTGGCGGCTATCTAATCAGGCATATGAGGCAGCTGTTCGCTCAGGAACCCATGAGGAGTAGTGAGCTGCCATCTAATTAGAAAGCCACCTCTGTTGCTTCCCAACCAACAGCACCAGGACCATGATGCTCTTAATCTGGCCCTGTCCATAGTGGTCCTTGGTGTGGTAAGTCAATTAAGGGAAGCTTTAGAGCAAATACATAATGCTAGCTATAGTTTAGTCTAGCCATGTACTTTGCTGAGCGATCGTGCATGCTGTATTGAGCAATATGGCTCAGTATATTTCTTCTCCTGCTGGCACCAGGAGTGTTCGGAAAAGAGCGCCCCTGGTTTCATTTCCATATCTTTTACACCTAAAGCTAAAAAAGAGCCTCGCTGTAAACTTGAATGTTGTACACAAGCTGAAACTGGTGGCGGCTGGGACAGATCATCGTACCAAATGATATATGATGTGAGCTTCCAATGTGTCCCTGATTTAGCAGAACATTCCCAACTGTCAGCCTCCAAGAGTTGAGACTTAATTAACTGATCAGTAGGCAAAGTGGTCTTCTGTTTGGCTGCACAGTATTGATACACCATCCCCAGGGTATGTTTGATTTAGCCACCTGCCCATTACAAAAAGTTGTTATAAAAGCTTGTTGCTTTCATTTTTCTTACCTACGATAGTAGTAGATGTTTGTTGGTTGCAGTGGAGGACATCTTCACACTATGTACATTTTCTCACTATTGCTCTGTGAAAGTTAATATTTAAAGGGTCGGTCAATCCAAAGCCAGTATTTTAGATTTTGGTAGATGCTGGAGAATTAAACCACCTGACAGTTTCTTATATCTCTCAGGAACTCCATTGGTGAGATTTCTTCCCTTGAGTTCCTGGGTCTGAGCACTTGTGGTGGCCATTTCCAGGGGTTTCATTGACCTTTTATGGAGTTTCTATTTATTTTATATAATGGAGCATATAACAGAAGGTGCTGGAAATCAAAAAGGTCAGTAGGAACATCCAAACCTCCCAGGTGGAAAGGAACTTAGTCGGGCATTATTTAGGGAGATCTCTATGTTGGAATATTCTACTCATAAAAGATGCCAGGTGCTGACTCAGTCATCCAACTCTAACAATAAAACAAATATCGCTAGTTTGTGTCCTGTCCTTTAATTTGCACATCTGCACAATAGCTGTATGAATATCTACAGTACACCATTTGATTAAACAAAATCATTTCTTTTAATTCAAAAGCCACATGTGAAAGGGAAGCTGTCTGAAAGAGTACCAGAGAATGCTGAAGCCTCAGTGGTCCTGGTTGGTGAGTATTATCCCATTTTCCCAACTTTTCAGGTCCCTTAAAGTCTAATTTATATTATAAGAAATTTCCCCTAATAGAACACTGAGATAACTCAGAACTAGAGGCAGATATAAGAGTTCCCTTTATCTCCAGTTCATTGAATGAATCCATGGTTCATTTAAACTTCTTAAGGGCCTGTGTCGATTGACTTTTGTTTGCTTTCCCATTCAAGTGCAGGTCAGAAGGAGGTCAACTACAGGTCAAATGCACCTGTCAATGAATTCTAAATGATCTCAGAAACATCCCAAACTAATGTAAAACTGATTCCATCAGCACAGACCCAAAGCCTGTTGACACAGGCCCTACATGTATTCTTAAATAGTACATACATCTGTCTTTATATTAGCTCCCTGTAGCAGCTACTGTATGTAAAGACTATTGTGTAAAGTATTGCATACAGAGTAATTCTGCCAGTCTATACTAAACCTTGATTCAGGATAATCGGCTCACTCATTGTTATCTGTTACAGATACACTAGTTAGGATATACAGTATACTGTACGTTAGGAATTATTATCTCATAACAAAGATTCTTGGATAGGAAGGAGTGTTGTCTGTATCTCTTTGTCTTTTAACTGCTCTTTTTCTACTCTTTTATCACCATCTACTTTCCAGGTAGTCCTCATTCTTCAGGCTTCCCTCTTCTCCTCATCTTTACTCTTTGTCTGGACCCTCCAGACGTATCCCATTTATCATACCATTCTCATCCCCATCATCTACCCATACCACAGGCTGTACTAATTTCCTGGAGAACCCCACAGTGGCTTTTGTACGTCTGAAGGAGGCCGTCCATCTGGACTCCGTCATTGAGGCTCCTCTTCCTATCAGATTCATGTTCATCCTTCTTGGCCCTAAGAACGCCACCACCAGCTACCATGAAGTGGGGAGGGCTGTATCCAGCATGATGGCTGAAAGAGTGAGTAGTGTGCAGATGAAACCTGTATAAGTATATTTTTCTCTATGGTTAACTATTGACTGAATTTACCACTTTTAAGATATTTTTTAATTTCCTTTAATTTAAAGTTTGTGTCTGGGCAGAAAAAAAACAAACATGTTCCGTACATCTCTGCAATAGTGAAGAAAGATACTGCACACCATGGATACCACCAAATTAAATTTATATTCATGTACCTCCATCCCGGTCACATTAGTCCTCCCTGCCATACAACTGCACACATCAAACATGTTTCACCACTCAGGCCTAATTGTAGATGACTAAGCCTGAGAGGTAAAACGCGTTAATCGTAGATGCTTAAGCCTGAGTGGTGAAACACATTAGAGCCGTGTGGTTGTATGGCAGGGAGGATTATGGTATCCGTGGTGTGCGGTACTTTTATTCGTTATTGGTTCTAGTCTGAGTGTGAGCAAGCTCAATGACCTGCACCCTGGAGGCTCCCATAGGGAGAGAGTCCCGTATGGGAATTGGAGTGGTGATGTTTGCCTTGGAACATCTCATACATCCATATTTTCCCATGTTTTATCTCATTAAAATGCTGCAGGTACAGGAAAATACATGTTGATCTGCCAAACAACTACTGAGCACCCAAATTCCTGTAGTAAGTTGACAACAATGCTTTAGCTGCACTGAAACCTCAAGCAGTGTTGTCATTCTGATGCAGTTCTCCCTTGCCGGATTATAGAACACCTTCCCATTTCCTCATCTCAATAACATTAGGGGTGAGGGGTGGTTATGTAGTCCAGCCGGTGAGAACACTGCTTAGCATTTCAGTTCAGTGGTGTCAGCTCACTATGGGAAGTCAGGAGCTCCCTGGTTTTCTAGCAGAATCGACAGGTATTTCTCTGTACTTGCAATTTTACATATACTTTTATCTATTAAACAAAAAATAGTTCTCACATATTACCCCATATGATCCTTCCAGATTTTCATGTTATCCTTTTACCTTCCTTTGAATTTACGACATTACTTTTGTAATTATTATTGACATGTTCTCCTCTGTAGGTGTTCCGCACAGAGATGTACCTTGCTGGTGGCCGCGAGGATCTTCTCCAGTCCTTAGATGGCTTTTTGGATTGTTGCATAGTTCTTCCTCCCACTGACTCCACAAATGAACAGCTACTGAAGGATCTGGTGCCAGTTCAGCAGAACCTACTGAGGAAGAGATACCAGGAGCTGAAAATTGTGCCAGGTGGACACAAAGGTACAAAGAACTCAGAGTAAACCGTATCTGATAATTAGGACATCCATGTCCAGTCCACCTAATTTAGAACAATAGAATTCAATGTACCTTATTAATGCAGCATGGTGCGCATGTTGTAAGAAGCTATGAATTGCAATGTCACAGTTTTTATTGCATGTGCTGAACAATTCCCCACTAAGCTATGTTTTTGTTTTGCTGCCTTGTGTGCAGAGATCAGAATTTTTTTCTTTTCTTTTGCCCCATGAGCACATTTTACCTGGAACGGCAGGTTTTATTTGTATTTTTTGGTATTTATATAGCACCAACAATTTACACAGCGCTTTACACGATGCACATTCACATCTGTCCCTGCACCCAAGGAGCGTACAATCTAAGGTCCCTGTCACATGCATAGATACGAGAGCCAATTTAGACATGAGCCAATTAACCTACCAGCATGTCTATAGAGTGTGGGAGGAAACTGGGGTACCCGGAGGAAACCCACACAAGAACAGGGAGAACATGCAAACTCTTTAGATAGTGACCCGACTGTGATTCAACCCAGAGACCCCCAGTGCTACAAGACAGAAGCGCTAACCACTACACCACTGTGCTGCTCTTTTATAGCACAGATATACACCAAGTATACAGCTATTTATCCATCTTCAAAGAGTTGGTTGGGCCTTGTTAGCCTTCATCAGTGCAAGAAACAGTAGAATTTGTTTCTGAAGGGTAAGACGTGTATCACTGGCACAGTATAAAATGTTGATATTGAGAATTACTGCTTTTGTGTTTCACAGATCAACACAAAGAAGAACCTCAAGAAGACCCCTTGCAGAGAACAAGAAAGCCTTTTGGTGGTCTGGTTCGTGACATCAAAAGACGTTACCCCCAGTACCTCAGCGACATACGTGATGCTCTGAACCCGCAGTGTCTGGCTGCTATTATCTTCATCTACTTTGCTGCCCTGGCCCCTGCCATCACCTTTGGAGGTTTAATGGGTAAATATCTGATATTTGATGGGGGACATGTTGTCAGCATAGTAATACCTAGGGACATTTCTAGATTCCTAAAAGACCCCCTGTGCACTTATACTAAAAGGATATGGAGCTTGTAGTATACCATGGCAAAACAAGGGTAAGGCCGTTTCTTGTCCTCCATAGTATCGCTTCTCTCTCTTTTGTCTTTGCTCTCTTTGGTCTTTTTCCCCTTTTTGCAGTGCTGCCCTCATTTAAATTAAGCCATTTCACTGTTACCACCATCACCACACCATTTTTGGCATATCCCCCCTAAGCCACAGGGAAGTAAACTGATGTATAGAAATACCTTTCACCAATTAAAAAAATTGAATTTTTGCTCTCTGAATATAATTAAAGCTGAACGGTGGCATAAGCAAATCAGCTGTCACGTACCTGGGTGGAGACTGTATGTCGGGAGGAGGCTTCCCTTGCACCTCATGTCCCAAAGACTCTGGAGTTGGGAACAGAGTCTGAGTGGACAGCGAGTGGCACAGGTGCCAGTGGTGAGCACACCGTGTAAGCTGGGGTTCCGGCACCAGATTGGGTCAGGCTGAGCTGTAGTCAAAACCAGGCAGGCAGCGGAGTGCAGAGCAGGATCCAAGATCGTGGTCAAACAAGCCAGGGGTCAATTCCAGTCGGGCAGCAAGGTACAAAGGCAGGAAACAGAGGAAGGTCCAGTAGGCAAGCAAGAGGTCAGGGCAGGCAGCAATCCACAAGGTCAAGGACAATCCGGGTCAAAAGTCAGCAGGGTAATCAGAAGCACAAGGAAGACAGGGGAAGCTGAAGACAATCCAGCAACTTGGATTCAGATAGGCTGGCTTTAAATAGGGTGATCCATCAGGGAACAGCGTCACTTCCTGTGCGCCGTTTGGCGCACTTTTGCACGGCTGTTCCGTGGTGCGCGCAAGTGCCCGTTTATCCGTAGTACGGAAAACTGGGCCCCGCGCATGCGCAGTAGCAGGTGGTTTCTGACATAAGCAAATCTCCTCCAAATACCAGAGTCATGTGTTTTCTTACTTGAATTTTGGTGTCCTTTATGTTATTCTTCCAAATCTGTGCAGTAATCCAGCATGACTGCTCCATCCTGTAGTGACATGTGGCTCGGTAGGGGAAACTAATGAGTGCTGCTGGAGACACGGCAAATGCAAATCTCTCCAAAATTAGGGAAAATCCCACTACTGACGGCTGTCACCAGAACAAGTGACCCCATTGGACCGGGAGATATCTCCTCTGTTCTGGAGGCAACCAAAAAAATGTAGATGACCCATTACTTTCTGTCCTACTGAAAATGGTCATCGGGACAAATAGTGAAATTAGACCTTCTCAGGGGCACAGACAGCAATTAAACCCAGTAGGGTTTCTAACCCTTCTCTACTCTTACTAGGAAAAGATTGGTATGTACTTACTTGGTATGATATTACTTTTCGGGAGCCTTCAGGGACAACTTCAGACACATCATTTAGGCATACCCTTTTCTCCTTCTCCACAGCTCAGAAGACAAATTCATGGATGGGCGTCCCAGAACTGATGGTGTCTACGGCTGCTCAGGGTGTTCTCTTCTGTCTCTTTTGTGCCCAGCCTCTACTTATTCTAGGTTTCTCAGGACCACTTCTGGTGTTTGAGGAAGCCTATTTTAATGTAAGTCATGTCTTCATTCTTGATTATATATGTACAGTATATCTAAATCAATTTAGCACAAAGAGTCATAAGAAATATTTGACCTACCTGTAGGAATTTATAAGTGTAGGAATTTATAAGTAAAAATAAAAGGACAGTGTGAAGCTTTTTTTTATTTGAAGGTATTAGAATGTTTTAAAAAAGTCATAAAAATTATGCAGAAATGTAAAAGAAATTATTAAAATAATAATAATTACATTAATTCAATTTATATTGTGCTTTTAGTTTGCAGGATGTACTAGGACAGGGTTCTTATATACAGTGCAAGGTATAAAATAACTCTGAAGCTATTACCGCATACTTAGTATATTTTGCCTGTGACACTTTTATAATTTTGCTATGCTTTAGGAAACCAATACCCCATGAAATATATCAGTAGCCTCACAACCACCGTTTACCTCCATCATTCCAGGAGGCAGTGCATATTATAAACAAGTGCAGGAAGAAGTACATATTCTATCAAATACAAATTTTGGAAAACGTGCACAGTAGTTGCTTCTTGTGTAAAAAAAAAGCAGGTGAAATGTACAAGTCCAGGGAACTTTAGGCAAACTAGGCTGATAAATGTGGTAGAGTGGGACATCTGATGGCTTTGTATAGCCTATAGATGGAAGTCTCAAGCTTTTACCTCTTTTTACCTCGTGTTGTTATCATGTCTTATATACATTTGTAGTTCAAATGATTACATTTTAATCCTAATTAATCTTAATTTTAATGCCAAAGTTCACAAAGTTCAACACATTTGCAAATTTGAAGGGCAAAGGCCAAAAAAAGGTAACAGTAAAAAATTTTCATTGGTCACTAATCCTTACTTTTTGTACCCCCCAGTTCTGCGACAGCCAAGGCATTGAGTACATCACAGGTCGCGTGTGGATTGGATTGTGGCTGATCCTGATTGTCCTCGTTGTCGTGGCCTGCGAGGGCAGCTTCTTGGTTCGCTTCATCTCCCGATTCACACAGGAGATCTTTTCCTTCCTCATCTCACTCATTTTCATCTATGAGACATTTTTCAATGTAGCCAAGGTAAGAAGAAGGGGCTGAGTGGCAGCAAAATGATAGAGCACCTAGTTCTATTAGTTGAACTAAACCATGCTATATTACAGTGGTTCTCAACCTGTGTAACCTCAAGACCCACATTTGTTCTTGGTCATTAAGTTGCGATCCAAGTTGCACTACAATGGAATGCACAGCATTAGGGTGCCATGTGTTCCGATGCGGGTGTACAAACTGTGGGTGGGAGGTGAGTTTGGGGTACATACATACACAACCACAGACACAATCTCACACACTCACAGACATTCTCACACACACACACATACACACTCCAAACATTTTTTTTTTAAGGTCCACCTAGTCTCCCTATCTTACGACAACTGGTGTGAATCCTCAGCCTGGGGTCCAGTGTGGACTGCTGTGCTGTGACGGAGTTCCATCCATATGTGCATTGCTTGTACAACTCCCTTACGTGCCCTGTAGAGGTGCCGAGAGCCAGAATGTGGCGTTACTCCAGTCCAGGCACCTCTACATGACACGTGAGGGAGCTGTAAGCAATGCACGTATGGTGGAGCTCCCTCATGGTTATACTCCCATCCTATCTAACGTTAAGCTGACATTCAGCACCGAGCGCAAGAACTGACAGTGTTGCGCTAGGGGGAGGCAGAGGAGCATCTCACCTAGATATGTGGAAGGTACGTGGCGACCCACTGAACAAGCGGTCACGCCAGTGACCAGTTGAGAACCAAGGCTATAGTAGATACTCCACTCCATTACCTAACATAGGCTAGCACCTACACCGAACACATGATTTTGTGACTAGATCACCCACCCATGTTATGGGCCTACAAAAAACAGTACTAACCCAAAGACATAACTATTTTCTTATGTTGTAGCAGAGCTGTCCCTGCCTTAAAGTGAGAAATCTCAGGTCAAGATGTACACACCTAGGAGGCAAAGAGAGAATCTTCTCAGTTCTCCCACTTGATAGACAGAACAGCTAATGAAAATCATCAATGCATTTGAGTAGGAGACCCTTAAATGTGCTGCTGCCTCCATCAGTGCTAAAAGTAAAGCGATGCAAATCACATTCTCTACCTTCTGTAATTGTATGTGCAGATTGTGGTATGGAAGGCATCAATTCAGGAGGCAGGTCTTGCAACAAGAAGGAAAATAGATGTGTGTTGAGGCAATTTTATGTGGATATTGGGGTAGGAAAGGCATAAACTCGTGATTTCATTAAGTTCTTGAAATCAGGAGAAAATTGTGGAGTTTAAGCTAAGATGGACCTGTGTTAACTGGTCCTTTATGTGCCCTACCGTGTATCATCAACTTACAAATAAGGGTTTCAGCACTTACCAAAACCACTGCCTTCCACTGCAATTAACCTATCACTAAAAACCAATTGCTGGAGTTCGGGCTGGGTCCAACACTGGGGCATATGGTGCTGCTACTTCTTCCTGGGCATGCAGTACCAGTTTTCATGGAAATCCAAGTAAACAGCATAACAGGTTTACAGGTCCAATACCATGTGTATAATAAATTTGCAAACATTTGTTATTAACTACTGGAACTATAATAACATAATGAATAAATTGGTGATTTTTATTTTTTTATTTTTACACAGATCTTCATAGCACATCCTCTCCAGGAGTCTTATAACGTAACCCACGTGTTTTTACCAACCTATCCCCAACCAAACACAGCTCTGCTCTCTCTCCTTCTCATGGTTGGAGCCTTCTTTATCGCATACTTCTTCCGTCAGTTCAAGAACAGTAGCTTCTTCCCTGGCAAGGTAAGGTTGTTCTTTCAATATTTTATCACCAAAACACCCAATGAAGGCCACCCAAAACTGGTATCCCATTGTTGTGTTTATCGTGGGCCTAATTAATTCAATAATCTGTCCATGTGAGGGACTATTATCGTTCAAGGTTAAATTGAAACAAACACCTTGGCTAGTACTTTTTCCTGCTGATCCTCAGCTCTTAAGATTTACAAGGGCTGGTTTCTAAAACCTGAGGGCCACATTCTGATCAACTTCAAGTCGACCTCTGCGACCCTGGTAGTTCCACCACTGGATCCGAGCCACCCCCCTCCTGCCCATAGCATGCACCAACAGCACGAAAACCCAGACCCCTCCCCCCTCAGACATACGCCACCAGGAACCCCCGCCACCCCTCCCTCCCAGCCTCAGGCAGCAAAAAGACTAGGGACACCCCTGGCGGCACCATAGCAACTGCAATTCAAATAGAGACTAAGATGGTACCTTCCTTGGCTGAATTGGAAAGTATGTTGTAGTTCCGCTTTAAGCAAATGACAAATTAAAACCCAACTCCAGCTAAAACTTTTTAAGCAGTTATAGCAACAGTCAAAGGACTAAAATCTGACTGTTGTAAGCACCCCTGGCAGTGTTTGACTTCACATAAATTTGAATGGAATTGTGATTATAGCTCAAGAGTATCTGTAAAAAATAAGTCAAAGCAACTGGACTTGCAGTATTTTCTTTTCTTGGAGGCGTTTCACTGGTCATAGATATATCATGATGAATGAGAACCTTTACAGACATATATCTCAAGAGGTTTGCAATTGTATCTATCACAAATCAACCCAAATGTTTCTCTTTCAGCTGCGTCGTATCATGGGAGACTTTGGTGTCCCTATCGCCATTCTCATCATGGTGTCAATTGATTTTCTTATTAAGGATACATACACAAAGGTGGGCATGTTTTCAGTTTCATATAATATAATGCTATTTGCTCTAACTGTAAGATCGTAGGAAGATGTATGTAAAGTGATCTGTATGCACATACACTAAAGAAAAAATATGTTATGGCTTTGTGCGTTACATATTTAAATGATCATAGCAGTGCTTACCTTCAAATATTTTTTTTATATGTCTTCCAGATTCATAAAAGATTATTATGATATGTCTTCCAGATTCATAAAAGATTTGTTCTGAACAGATTTGTGTTATTGTATTAAGCAGAAAGATTTTAAATGAACCACTAGAGGGAGTTCACAATCTGCAATTAATTACTACAGGATATATATTTGGAATATTTTTGTATGTAAGCAATTTCAGTAGAGTAGAAGAGCATGTACAATGCTGCAAGCTATTTGGGAAATTTGACCTCATGCTTTTTCTGACATGCATGTTCTGATACAAACACTTATAGTTCATATTCCATGTGTTTTCAGAAACTGAGCCTTCCCAAGGGTCTTAGTGTCTCCCGACCCCAAGAACGTGGCTGGTTTATCTCACCACTGGGACTAAACAGCACTGCAGATCCTTTCCCTATCTGGATGATGTTTGCCTCTATAGTTCCTGCCTTGCTGGTCTTCATCCTCATCTTCATGGAATCCCAGATTACCACGTAAGGAACTAGCAGAGCTTGCAGCCAAGTTCTAAATATGGAAATGGTCATTTGGCTTTGCTGCATGTACCAGACAGTCAGATAAGGTACCTTTAGGTGTTAGATGGTCACTGTAAGATTATGGCAGCTTGGGAAGGATTGGCCAAAGATACCGTCTATGGTCACCCTCCAGATGCTCATAGACAGCAACTAATGGGGACTGCTCCAGTTTGTGCATCCAGGTAGTGGCTAAAAATGAAAAAAACAATAGAATTAGCATATACAGTATATGCGCCATCATGCTGGAATATAAACGCATGTGATTACAATTGCAGGTTGCTTTTGTTCAAGTACAAACTTCTGCATGGCATGATTGTCCTAGGGCTTGCCATGCTTCTGGTGAACCATTGAGCCATTTTAAACTTTTAAAACTAAAACACTTGCCTGAAAGCAGGCACCACAGGTCTGGACAATGTCTTCAGTGTGTACCTCTGACTCTAGTTCTACTTTGTTACTAGGGCCTTGCATTGCCTAATGTTGGGGAAAGCCCCAACTCCACAGGTAGGATCCACCCAACCTTCATTATCTCCTCTTCATGGCCACTGAGGAACTCTTATTGTACAAGAGGGCGGCAAGTAGATGGGACATAGCTTAGGAAGCAGGATCTAGTTGCATACTTGAGAACATTAATTATGACAAAAGTGAAACCAAGATCAGAGGGGTGCACCAAAGAGGCTTTTCCATCCAACGATGGTAATAGCAGGTACACAGTATTGTCTGGTCCAGGATATGTTTAAAATGGCAGACAGGTCCTCTTTAAATTGGTCACATCATTGGCAAATTTTTATCAGCATAGGCCAGCCTTGCAACAACAATACAGATATACAATATAACAGTTTTTTCCAACCTTTAAAGCAGATGCCTGCTTTTTCTCTTGGTCTTGTAGGCTCATCGTCAGTAAACCAGAGAGGAAAGCAGTGAAGGGCTCTGGATTCCATTTGGATCTCTTGCTAATTGTGGGAATGGCTGGTGTGTGTGCCCTCTTCGGATTACCCTGGCTCAGTGCCACAACAGTGCGTACAGTCAGCCATGCCAATGCTCTCACCGTCATGTCTAAAGGAGAGAAGCCTCAGATAGAGCGTGTTATCGAGCAACGAATTACTGGAATGCTGGTGGCCCTTCTTGTGGGTAAGTATATTTAATGTGTGTCAAACATGAATAACACATACCGTTCACCTTCTCCCCAGATAGCAAGCAGTTGAGCTGCTAGTTTGAAAATGACTTACTAGACTTGCCAACCTTTCCAATTTTGTTGCACAATTACAGCAAGTCTGCATTGCAAGTCTCCAGATCAAAGTGCTTTGCAAAAGTGCTGTACACTTGCAGAGCTCTTGCTAAGACCTGCAGGACTCTTGCTGTAGACTTGCCAAGCAAATTTGCTACAAATTCAAAAAGTGTCAACTAGAACTTGTGCTGCAAGTGTTCTGCAAGTCTACAACTTGCCAGGAACGTGTGCAGCAATTTAACAAGAATTACAATTTAACCCTGCCACAAGTTTGTGGCAAGTTATCCTTGCTATCTGTGTCTAGACCCTTGGTTCTCAACCGCTGGGTAGTGACCCAAAAGTGGGTCGCGACCCCATGTTCAGTGGGTCGCCACGTGCCTTCCACTTTTCTAGGCTGCTCAGCCTCACCCTAGCACTGTCAATTCTTGTGCCGAGCAGCCATTCAAAATGGCTGTGTCAGCTGCAGGTGGGGGGGGGGGGGGGG